AGTGCAACGGCAAATGGCCATGGGTTGTATAGTACGACTTTTATGGACATTCTTATATCGATGTTCGGAAGGAACAAACACTACGTATAATAAACTTAGCGAGATAATTAGACATTTATTTCCGGCAAATCGTAGGTCTTGTTATGTAAACTTGGATCTATTTGTGCAATTCATTCATTTTGTTGGAATACGTCATTATGATTACTGTATGAAGAACCTTGTATTTATGCTAATGAATTCAGAAAATATAGTCAATGCTAATTCATATGCATTGGAGCTAATTGCACCTGAAAGAATGAGAATTGGAATACGATCATTTATGATGATATTATACAGTATGCAGGCTTCCGAGTTGAGGCCACCGTTTCCTAGTAATCCTGATCTATTGGACCAAAGGCAAGGTCTTGGCATAAAGACTTCTTCAGATGTTCTCTCTGACGATATTTTTAACCAAGCTGGCTTGAAAGAAAATGTTGATAGGTTTTGCGACATTACTTATAGAATAGCGGTTATTTTGGATCAGCGTTTTGGTAATTTAACTGTATTAGACGAAAAATATTTAATGAAGGCCGTTGTTGATTCTCCCAATATGATCACGTACACTTATAGCTCGATGACTGTATCCTATTCTAAGGATAGACAGGCTTATTTTAATTTGATGAGAGAATATGTTGATTCGCTCCCTCGATTATTAAACAAAAACGCTAGAATAAAAATTGTTGAGATGTTGTGCAGGTATACTGTACATGTTGATCCGAGCCTTGCGAGATCAGCTTCTGTTGCCCTAATGCGTATCGCAGATCAATGCGGTGCTGAAACAGTCATTACAGGGTTTTCTCGATTTGTACACAAGATTGAAGATAAATTTTATGAGATTCTTGTTGGTTCGCAGGTTGGATCCTTTGGAATTTTAAGGCTATATTATGATTTACTTAAACGTTGGTTATATCAATTACAGAATAAAAATTCTAATGAAGTAGTCAGGAATTTTAATGATGTCGAAGATCCAACTATATGGACAATTATTGAAGAGACAGAAGCAAATGGCTTGTTGTTTCTTTGTAGTCGGTCGTGCATGGTCAGAAAGTACGCAATCAGCATTCTTCATATGGCCGCTGAACTTGACCGACAGTTTCATGAGCGAAAAGAAAAAAATAACTCAGTACGATCGTGTGCGGCTAGTATCGAAAGTAAGCATTCTGGTGTTGCAGACGATGATGCTAGTAATATAAAGCATGATGGAACTTTGCTCAATAATAATCCTGGGATCAAATTATCATATTCTGCAAATGGAAACGACCAGAATTCAGATTATACATGTATTATTCATGTGCTTGAACGTGGGGGTAAAGAATTAATCAAACTCAACACCGAACTACAAAACACACTATCAATTGTTGAAAATGTAAGATTATCAAACCTTCAAAAATTAGGGAAGGATGTTCTTCTACGCCTTGTTGAAAGTGAAAATCCAACTGATGCAGCTATATGGGCTCGATGCTTCCCAGACTTCATTAAAATTTGCACAGAATATTGCCCTGTGACTGTGGCGATATGTAGAGACAACATTTGTGCACGTATCGTAAAAATGCAAATGGCTATTGTTACAGCCAGTGAAAGCCTATCGCGTGCACCATCTGCAACTTTGTCAGTGCCAAGGTTCCATTACTCAAAGGTAATCTTATCTGCAACGGACGAACTCATTGAACAATGGAGATCTTATTTAATTGTCGCTTGCTCTACTATTACTTCGACTGATGAATTGGTTGATCAAAAATCATCATCTCATGCTCGTAAACGAACGGCTATAACAGAGCGTATTGCTTCTGCTAGAGATTTATTCCGTATGATTTTGCCTCTTCTATCATCAGATCATTCCATAATAAGGGAATCTGTTGTAACTGCCTTGGGAAATATTAATGAAAATGTCTATAAAGTTTTGCTTGAAGATATGCAACCTTTCTTTAGATCAGTGATTGATGATTATAAGACTAAAGTTAACAAGCAGCAATACGCCAATATACATAAACGTGCTAGAAGATTTGAAAGATTAAGAGTTGAACTTGCACATGTTTATCAATTGACAGCACACTTTCTTGTTAAAGTAGAAATAATAAGAGACTCTTCCGTTTCATCACTAATAATGACATTTGTTAAGGAAACCATAGCTTTTCTTCGGGATCTCGAAGTTGCCAACGACTGGGATTGGCAAAAACTTCGCCAATATTTTTGTGGAGTGGTTGAAAAATTATATGATGGACTTTGTATTTTGCAATCTGAAAATAATGAAAACAATGAAATGCCCTTCGAAATGCGAACATTAATATTCAAAATGATTGAAGAATGGTGTGGTCATGGTAAAAAGGGTGTTCAATACCGAGCTAGAGAGGCAAATATGTTGACGACGATAATGGATCAATACAGAGATTCTGAAGAAAGACGACCTTTAACCGCCCAATTAGAAAATGACAGAAAGGCTTTAGAGTTTGCTGCATTAAGTGCTATGGCTTCATTATGCGTGGGTATCATGTTAGGGTCATGTATTATGATCAATGTTTATGGTATAAATAATAACTTACTATTTATAATAGCGAGGGAATCTTGTTAAGCAAGATTCTAACGCGACAAAGAAGCAATTATTGGATGCTGACTGCGTATTTCCTTGGATACAGTCAGTATTTGAAGATCTACAAGATAGACTACATCCCATTGCACGGTATGTTTAAAGTCTAGTGATTTTTATTTTATTTATTTCATCGTTCATCAAAATAATAAAATGTAATAAAATAATAGGAAAGCACTTAAGGGTTTGCTAATTTCTAATTCGAATACGCCGAATTTTCTTGAAGTTCCCATACGATTATGCTATTCTGGAAATTCTGCTAGTAAGAGCACGCAGGGATACTTTTTAGCAATAACAGAAGTTTTCTTTGAAAACAGAGACTACCCCTTTCAAGATAATCAACCTTGTAATGTACTAGCTTTAGCTTTATTCAAAACTGGAGACGCTGATCTAGAAGTACGTCAAAGTGCTCTAAAGTTGCTAAATATTATAGAAACCCGATTTTATAAGGATAGTTGCACTGACGAATTTAAGGTGGGAATTACTAGTCAACTATCATCTATATATAAGCAAGCACAACTTACATTATCAACTCGTCTTGCACAAAATGCTCGGAAAAGAGATGAGGAAAAACGAATTGCGAATATGAATAATGATTCCACTGATATTCATGAAGAAACACATTATATGTTATCGGAATCGTCAATGCGATTTGAGAGTATTCCAGAAAAAGGCAAGAAAGAAATGCTTTGTTATTTAGCACCATGGGTTCGGAATCTCGAGTTACGCTTCACAGATAAAGGTGAATTACACCCGACAACGTTTATAATGATATCCAATCTTTTTTTTATAACTGTTAAATATGGTGACATATTTGTCAGAGACATCGAAAAGCTTTGGCAGCAGTTAGTTATGGGAGAACATGCTCGTAATATTCGTGCTATAGTGAAGTTCTTGATTGATGTTGGTTTAGAAAAACGGAATCCAATGTTTGTTTTTCACGCGAAACGAGTTTTTGTTTATCTAGGACGTACACCTACATGTGCAGCAGTTATAGAAGCATTAATCAAAGAAATTACACCGAAATCGATGACCCCTCAGCCAAAAGAGATACCAGAGCGTGAAGACTATAATATAAATGGAATGTTTCTTGCTAAAATAGAGGAGGCAATGCCTCAACATAATAAAAAACCCGTATTCTCATCAGGTCAATTAGCAATGTTATATATGGTTGACATGGCGATAGAAGCTGGGCCTGTTTTTGAATTTCACCTTCCAAAATTGTTTCATGTTTTATTTGTACAATTAGATTCACCCAATCCTCTTATTAGCGAGGAGACTAGAGCACTTTTGGTGAATTTAATTCATTCAATTATCCTTTGCAAGTCGGTTTATCCCGAAGTTATTAAGCTCGGACATTCTTTAGTTGCGGAATTAAAAGCAAAGGAGGGATCACAACTATGGGCATACGAAGATATAACATATTCAAATCGAGATATTAAAAGTTTATCAGATTTAGAAAAATTAGCTAAAGATGTAGTGACAATTTTTGGAGTTTCTTTATACGGAGAGACCAATAGTGAGGATCTCAAGCAATACTGGGGTGAAATAGCATTAAGATGGGCAACGTCATGCCCTGTTCGTCATATTGCGTGCCGATCTTTTCAAATATTCCGTTCATTAAATCCCGGATTCAACTTGAACATGCTCGCAGCTGTACTTGCACGA